TGGAGACCTGCAGCTCTCTGACCTTATTCCTTAACAGGTTTTCAAGCCCCAGCTTGTGTTTGCTCTTCTGACCAGTGAACCATGGCTGCTTCATGGGGCAAAACTGCTTCATGTTTTCCTCCAATCTCTTGACTACACTTGGCTGAAGCCAAATAAATGAGCACTTGCAGAGAAGTGCCTGCTGAAGTGTGCTTCTTAGCTCAAATACTTCATCTCCTCCAATGCTATTTGCTGCTTACAGTTTCAGAGCTGCTTCTGTAGCTGTGACCTGGATATGTTTGCAGTTGTGTGACTGATTCACTGAGCTGTGTTTCTGGAAGCTGATGGGTGACAGTGGCACAGCCATGCTGCAGTAACTGACCCTGTTACTTGTCTTGTAGTGGGACACAGCAGGACAGGAGAGGTTTCGGACTATCACTTCCAGTTACTATAGAGGAGCTCATGGCATCATAGTGGTGTATGATGTTACAGACCAGGTAAGTCTTCAAAAACCTGTGCCTGGAGAGTTTTTCCAGGCTGATAAGTAAATAAAACCAGGAATGTAACAACTGGGCATGTCTTAAGGACACAGTGACATGGTTCTCCAAGCTGCATTAAGGTTTATCAAGCCAAACATGTGTGTTCATCTCAGGTTTGGGGCTGAATGCAGAAATAAAAGGAGCAGTGGGATTTGTGGCTCTAAAGTAATTGTATCTTAGGCTTAACTTGAGACTTGTTGAGCAGGTAACTGATTGTTCTGTGTGAATACTTCTCACCCTGCCTTTGGTAGCAGGAAGTCTGAGTTACTGATGGAAATTGTTGAAAGATTTGTGAATGTACTTGAACTTTGGTCTGCAGTGAAAACTGGCACTTGGAACAGAAAATTGTCAGCATGTGTGCAGGGTATAACTGAGCCAGTGTTTGCTGTGAAAGAATCTCTGAAGATTACTGGGGCATTTGTCCTGTTTGAAGGGCACTTGGGAAGTGTAGGGTTTCCTGAATTAATAGAAAAAGAACAATTGTGTTCAATCACTAACTGGAATATGAGTCCAGCATTTCTTGAGTCAAAGGCATCTCTACAACAAAGTGGTTTGCACCTAATACCTGGTGCTTTGTAAACACCTGGGATTCTTGTGGTTTCTGCTGTGTGCTGTGTCTTTATCTCTGCTATAGGAGGAGGAAGAGTCACAGATGGTAGAGGCTCTTGAATAATCAAGATATGGAGCAGGGAACAATAATGGGAGGAGAGCAGGAAAGGCTGACTGTGTAGGGCTTGGAGCAGGACCTCAGGAGCTGTATGGATCCTGTGGTGGCTGTACTGCCCTGAGGCCATCAAGGGCAGATGGCAGCATTGTGGTTGTGCATCATACTAAGTGCACTCCTTCATATTCCTTCCTGGTCATTACCACATGGATAGTGCTGAACTTTCCTCTTGGTCAAGGGTCTTGCTTACAGCTCTCTTGTCTTGTAGGAGTCTTTCAATAATGTAAAGCAGTGGCTGCAGGAGATAGACCGCTATGCCAGTGAAAACGTCAACAAGTTGTTGGTGGGGAACAAATGTGATCTGACCACAAAGAAAGTAGTAGACTATACAACAGCAAAGGTATGTGGATGCTGATGTATTGGCTTGGCTGAGCACCTGCTCTACTCTGTAATGCACTTTGGGTTCTGGTGCAGGGAAGTGCTGTGGTACACAGATTATGTCAGTGCCACAAATGTGGGCAGTTGATGACCCCCTGCCCTGCAGGTCATCGTCAGACCAGAGATGGGGTGTGGGGTGGAATCTGGGAATGTGTGGCTTGTCCAGCAGTGCACCAGGAAACAAGGTTGATGTATGAGCTTACTGTTTGCTGTTTCTTGATTTGCAGGAATTTGCAGATTCTCTTGGAATTCCATTTTTGGAAACCAGTGCAAAGAATGCCACAAATGTAGAACAGTCTTTCATGACTATGGCTGCGGAGATTAAAAAACGGATGGGCCCGGGAGCGACAGCTGGTGGTGCAGAGAAGTCCAATGTTAAAATTCAGAGCACTCCAGTCAAGCAGTCTAGTGGAGGTTGCTGCTAAAACTTGCCTCCCCCCCTTTTGTCTCACAACAATGAATTTGCAATCTGAACCCAAGTGAAAAAAAAAAATTGCCTGAATTGTACTGTATGTAGCTGCACTACAACAGATTCTTACCGTCTCCACAAAGGTCAGAGATTGTAAATGGTCAATACTGACTTTTTTTATTCCCTTGACTCAAGACAGCTAACTTCATTTTCAGAACTGTTTTAAACCTTTGTGTGCTGGTTTATAAACGTGTAATTCCTTGTTGCTTTTCCTGATACCAGACTGTTTCCTGTGGTTGGTTAGGATGTATTTTTGTTTTGATGTTTCTATTGGCATGTTTAGATGTCAGGTTTAGTCTTCTGAAGATGAAGTTTAGCCATTTTGTATCAAACAGCACAACAGTGTCTGTCACTTTCCATGCATAAAATTTAGTAAGATATATGTAAGATCAATTTGCTAGTTCCTTCTTGTAGAATTATAAATGGAGAGATCACACTATCTGATTAATAGTTTCTTCATACTCTGCATATAATTTGTGGCTGCAGAATATTGTAATTTGTTGCACAATATGTAACAAAACTGAAGAAATGTTTAATAAATATTGTACTTATTGGAAGTAATATCAAACTGTATGGTGATAAATATTGTCTTAATTTGTATGGCTAAGGGGGAAATTAGGCTTGCATTGTGCACAAAACATATCTGTGTGTGCAGCCATGGCTCTCAGACCTTCCAGTAGCCCAGAGCCCTTCCCTGCAACTCAAACCAGTGACTATGGCCCAAAAGCCTGAGCTGTCATGGTGCTTAAGGCACATGTGCTGTACCAGAAACACCCAGCCAATGTTCATGGAGGCATAATGCACTCTGAATGTACAACAGTTCCCTAACTTAGTCTTGGAACTTAACTTATTTCTCAAGGACTCTATTTAGGGAATTCCTGTTAGCTTTGCATAGTAGGGGAGAGAACAGTATTTCCCTAACACAAATGATTTCAGAAAAGCCTTGAGGAGGTATAACTTTCTACCAGTATGTCTTTTCTATATACTGTTACTTCCATCTTCTTTTACTCAGTAGTCTTCTGACTTAGTGCAACAGCTTAGCTTCTATTCCCTTCTGCAGAGAGGCACCAGGAGGTTGACATGGGGACAGTGAGGCCCTACCAAGCTCTTGCTCAAAGTAGGGGCATCTCAAACAATTTGGAACTAACCAGCAGCCAAGAGGTTTTTGGATGGTGTGATATTCTTTGTACAGAGCTAATCAACTCATTAGTGCCTGATGTCTAGCTAAAAGCCACAGGAAAGCTAGCCTATAACACTTCCTATACATGTAAAATTGTTCAGCTTTATCTAAACTCAAATGTTCAGCCTATTCTGTAAATAGTTTCATGTTTGAAAGACCATGTAACATTCCCCTAGTAGTAAATACACCCTGTGATAGTAAAAATATAGCCTAGGTATGTTGTGAGGTATAAACTAAAACTGGTGCAAATATCCTCTGATTTTTTTTGGGGGGGGAGGGGTGACTTTGGCTAACAGCTTTCTTCAACATAGTTGCATAAATCAACAGGCAATTGTAATACATAAAGTATTGTCATGGTTAAGTTGAACTCTTCCACTTGAGACCTTCACAATAAAGTGATGTGCTTTCTAGTAGAGATGTGCTTGTTGGTATAATTCATTCTCAATGTGACTTGGCTGCTCCTTGAGAGCAGGAGAGCAGTGAGTGCTGCTGAGGTCAGGAAGTGAAGCAGAAGGAGGTATGTTGAGGGTAGAACATCTTCCCTTCAGAGAAGTGCACAAATGAACTTCAATGTCAGCTGCCTGCTACATACTATCCAAACCAATGTTAATATATACAGTAATAAAAGCATTGCAAAACCAACTTGGGCTACACCAGGTGTTTGGTGGTTATTTGTTTTCCCCTCAGCCATTACTGGGTTGCTGTGCTGGTGCTGGTCAATGCTGGAGCCTGTGATGAGGGTAGAGCAGGCCTAAAAATTCTGGAAAATGGGACTGAAGTCTCGTACCTGTGTAAGCTGAAATATTAGATGCTTGTGACATAATGGGTAAAAAAAATTGCCACCATTTAAGATGAGGTAGAAGATGGGAGAGTATCAAAAAAACCCCACAAACACCGATGAATTATTTGTCATAACTACTTCAGGTTAACTGTGCTTTCACCTTCTGCTTGTGCAGAACAGAAATGTCACTGTGTTCTCACAGAAATGGGAGGAAATGATGTATTCTGGCACAAAAACACAGTGATAACCATTTAGTTTAAAGGTTATTTAAAGCCAAGTATCAACAGTCTGTAACTTTTTTGGCCACTTATCTTGTGAGATGCTCTTTCTGGTAAGAGTTTGGAAACCCTTGATGAAGGTTCTGTGAGCAGTGACTAACTGCACTAGCTGTAAGAGGGGAAGGGCACAACTGCTCACCCAGGGAAACCAGCACAGCACTAACAACACAGCTACTGCCAACAACAGGTTATACAGAACCTATTCCTTCCCGAGCTGTACTCACTTGTTTATTATTTGAGATTCAGCATACTGGATTTTTGTGTTTATGCACAAGAAAACTGAAAGTTAAACAGGCAGGGAGTGGTAGTTATAAACAAGCATTCACTTTGCTCCCAAGAACCAGAAGGAGTTGCTATTTCTTGGCTTCTAGCACCTATTTTTGACGAGCATAAACAAAACATGAGAGCAGAGCTATTAAAATCACACAGCTTTACTTAGCAGTGAGCTGCACGGCACACGGTGCATTACTCAGTTAAAAACTCGATCTGTTCCTGACATTTTGCTAACACATGAACAGGACACTTCCATGAAAAAAAAAAAGCTATGTTAAAAAACAAAACAGGAAAAGGCCAGCTGGATCCTCCTCACTCACACAACTCCAGACATCCTGTTGTACGGTGCACCTTCCCCGAGCCACGGTACAAGCCCACACTGCAATCAGCCCAGGTGGGCTAACTGAGCACATAGTTTGGCATCTCTGCAAGAGATGACGGCAGTGGTTTGGTGCTTGAAATTCTTATCAGCCCTCCCAAGACTGGCTAACGAGGTCCAGGTCTGGCAGAGGAGGCACCTGAAACAAAATAGGTTTGCAAAGAAACAAAGAAAACCCTCCCCCATGCTGTACTTCAGCAGGGTACAGCTAGGTGGAGGTAGCAATTAAACACTACTTAAGATATTGTTGTGCTCTTCTAAGAGGCTGTCACTCCTGTTTCTCCAGTTTTATTTGAAGGAAGATGGTCAAGAAAGTGACATACAAGTTTTCTAGCCCCTATTTTATACCTGAATTCACTTGCTTCCCTTTCCCACCAAGCAGAATGTTTCCAAGAAAACACAAAGCTAAAAAAAAAAACAAACCCTTCCTCATCTGCCCTCTGCGGTGTGAGGCATTTGGGCAGAGCAGCTGTCTGTGCCAGGCTGCTGCTGTCCCCCCAGCCCTGGCTGACCGTGAGCTGCCATCGCTCTCCTCACGCTCTTGGGTTTCATCAGCTGGGTCACCCACACTGCTCTTGCCCTGACACACAGTTAGAGCTCACAGGGAATCCATTTTGAGACGTCCCTCACGTCTCTTAGGCTTTCCAAACATCAGATTAATAGAGCCTGATGTGTAGTGTTAGCTAATTTAAGTGTTGCTCTTCCTATGCTTCCTCCCCTCTTCCCCCTCTGCAGAAAGGCTGGTTTGCCCCTGCTTACCCATGGAGCAGCTGTGTGCTGCACCCTCCTCATCCTCCATCGTGTCCTTGCCCTGCACAGGACCCACAGCAGCTAGAATGGACTTGTACAAGTGCTCTGCATGGCTTTCAAGCTCTTCTGACTGTTTGGCAATCAAACCCAGTGTGTCTTTCAGAGCTGGAAACAAATACATGAACGGAGGTGATAGCAATGGGATAATTCAGTGTCTGTAAGAGCAGAGTTCTGCTTGCCCACACAGATTTTTGAAGTAAATTGAATGTTAGAAGTCCATAATCTGATGTTCACTCCATCCACATTGTGGTGCAGAGTTTGGAGAGAGGTGGAAAGTGACCTAGGAGGCTGTCACCAGAGTGACTGCTGCACACGTGCTGTGCACCAGCCAGGCTGGGCTGTGTCCCCAGACTGGCTGCTGACACCCACACAGGATGCACCAAGTGCAAACAGGGTGAAAAATCACCCTACTGCACTGGACAAAAGCATCTCCTCCCAGCTGCAGTCCATCAGCACCCACAGCCTAGCAGGAGATCACCTAAAGGGCCTCTAAAAGGCCGAAACTGCTGCACACGTGCTGTGCACCAGCCAGGCTGGGCTGTGTCCCCAGACTGGCTGCTGACACCCACACAGGATGCACCAAGTGCAAACAGGGTGAAAAATCACCCTACTGCACTGGACAAAAGCATCTCCTCCCAGCTGCAGTCCATCAGCACCCACAGCCTAGCAGGAGATCACCTAAAGGGCCTCTAAAAGGCCGAACAATCCATCATCCTCGATGGATGGATCAGCAGAAGGTCAGGGTCAAGGCATGGGGCAG